TTTTCTGCCTTACTGCTCTATTTTCCCCTCACTCAGCTGCATGGAGAGGGATTCCTGGTGCATCCTCTGGGCTCCACCCAGTCCTGCACGGGCCTGCAGGGCCCTGTATTCTCCAGGCGTTTCCCGGGGCTTTTTTCTTGGCTGCTGGTTCACCTCTAATTCTGCTCCTCTCCACATTGGGGGATAGAAAGGGAATTCTCACGGTTTTGTGGAAACTTTCTGTTCCTAGCACTGTTTCAGCAAGTCGGGGACCACCTTTATGATCCAGCTTAGCAAAGGCAGAAGCGCTGTTTCTTTTCTTTTCAGATATTTTTTTCAAGTGTATTAAATTATGCCTCTTTCTGTTTGCTGTTGATGAGTGGATTTCTTTTTCCTGTTGTCCATTTGTGGTGTTTGCTAGTTTTTATTGCCTTTATTAGTCACTGGGTAAAAGGCAACCTATATTCTTGCCTTACTCTGTCTGTATGGGAAGCACCATCTGATCCCTTTTAGGCAGTGTTCACTGGTGAAAATTACTGAAGAAACCACTCAGTCTTTCACACATCCTACGTGTAAATATCAGTTCCTTTAATGACACAGGCCTCTGGGAGGTAGAATGGAGGAAACTGGGTGCAAATGAAAATGGAAGGGTGATAATTTGAGATGGTTTTCAACTTTGAGAATAGATTAGAATGGGATCCGTTCATCTATCACAAAGTGTGTTTTTGCTGCATTTTAATAAAGGTTTCCCTCCTATCCCCTCCCCACCTCCATTTGGCTAAGGGTGGGAGAACATAAATACTGTTTTTCATGGGCAGAGAACATAAATACTGTTTTTCATGGGCAAATGTGGCCTGCAACCTTGATATTCTTCTTTCTTTTTTTCTCAGCTTCTCACTTCTTTCCACATTATAGCCTATTACGCAAATACTCACAGAATAGACTATGTTCAACTGTTCTTTATTCCTAGTTTATATCACATTAAACATTCACATAATTCATAAATAAAAATATTTAATTTAAAAACTTCATTCCCCTGGGAATCTGGGGAGAAAGTGTGGAATGAACAGTTCCATGTTTACCACCAAGAAAAGTGTTTTTCAATTACACTCCAATTGATTCTGTTACACCTATGAGGCAAGTGCTGACTGCAGAGCTAACAGGGCTAAACACTGCATCTAAGCGATGGTGTGGAGAAGGGGAGGTGTGTGTACAGCGTGGGGGTGGGAAGGAGAGAACTGGGCCATTCGCTTCTGCAAGCAAATGTGACAAAGCGGCTGAATATGATGTTTGCATCTTATAGTCAGTCTGGCAGTGGGGCACAGGTGGCAGGTAGTTCTAGTCCTCTGCCCTCAAGTGACACTTTGGTGGATGCACTTGATTAACACAAGACAAGTTGTAGACTGTAGACTTTCAAAATATTAAGGACCTATGCCATATAATTAGCCAACTCACTGACAGAATGGTCTGGGCACATCATAAAATGCCTGTCCCCTCCAATTTGATGACATGTATTAAAAACTTACTTAAAAGGTCATTTGAGGTGGACTAGGATGCTAGGGCTTAGATACTGTTCTGGTGGGTGAGTAGGTATTAACCTTCCTATAATCATTTGCATTTGGGACTGGAATGTTGAAGGATACATTTGGGTGGGGCTCTTTGGGGTGTCCAGAGTTTACTTAGGGTGACAGGAGACCTCTGGGAGAAAATAAGTCCCAGACCTTGGCTTTACTTCATTGGTTGTCAAATATCCAGTGCCTAATAAGGAGAGGGTGAGTACACACGGAGGCTACAGGCAGAGACCACAAACAACCCTTTACCCGCTCCACACATGACAGAGCTCACACCCAGAAGGAAGTTAGCTCCCAGGATATGATGGAGGGCTGACACCAGACCTCACTCCAACCGGTGCTGTGATGTACTTTGGGAAAAAAGTTGTATGTGAATTGAAAAAACTGCACAATGAAGACTGAAGCATCCTGGGCCAAGGAAACTCTTGTTTTGGGACTCCATTAATGGAATGTAACTGTCCCCAGTATGTTAACTACCTCTCCAGATAAGCTCATTCCCACTTGCTTCCTGGGCTTCAAGCATGTTCTTCTACTTTTCCAATAAAATGGTAGGCAGAGGTTTAGCCACGAGCTCCTCTTCTCTTGTAGCTCTAGGACTCAGTCTCTACTCTACCAGACCCATGGAAGCTCTGGATTCTCCAGCAGGGCTGCCTAGAGGCACCAGGTGCCAGACACACTCCAGAAGTGCAAGGGTGGTATGAGCCATAGGACAAATTGTGGCCAAGAAGAGAGAAAAAATTGAAAATAGTTTGCAGAGAAATTTCTTTTGTCTACTCCCACCCCCAGGCTGTTCCATGACACAGTGACTTCAAATAGTTTCTCTAGAAATATCCCACAATACTGATAAATAAGCTAGCTTTTGAAGCTGTAACCAGTTGGATAATATTTCATGCCGCATGTGCTTTTCTCCTCTCCTTCCTTACTTCTCTTTTGTCCTCACTCCTACTTCCTTGCAATTGTAGTCCCCAGTGAGGCACTAGCATGTAACTCAGGTTGTTTTCTAGAGAACCCAGGCTAACACAAAGGTGTTAAAGGTAAACTTGGTGAACTTGGTGAAAGGTAAAAAAGGTGAACTTGGTGAAAATTTGTGATGAAGGCAAGGATATGAAAAAACCTCTAGGTATTCAGCATGGCTTAGTAGCCATAATAGATCAGGGGCTGCAGATCTGGGCTCTGCATCTTCAAGATGGGTTTTCAAATTTAGGGGTTAAGGGTAAAGTGTGGTTCAAATTCTGCCTCTAAAAAGTACATTTCTTGTTCTATAGAAGGTGGCAACCATAGACATCTAAAAGGACTTTTTCATGGACATATATGCCTATACTCCAGAGAATGCAGAAATATCTTGGGTGAAGTTCTCATTTGAGGTATGGAATTATTCACAGCATTAAGCCTTTATAGCAACAAGTGGAATAAGAAATAATGAGGCTATCATTGGAAATGAAGAGATTTAGAGTGTGGGGCATCTGTGTCTACTAGAGACTCTTTTTTGTGAAAACCTTAGAGGTCTGTGTTTTGTTTTCTAAGGAGGATAGGGTATTTCTTGTGTGTACACATCACAATTAATTCTCACCACAGTCCAGGAGAACAGATATTTTTCTCATTCCCATTTTATAGATCAGGAATGGAAAGCTTAGTGAGATTAAGTACTTTGTCCAAGGTTACACAGATTTGGGACTTGGGCCATCTTGATGCTCTTTTGCTCAAAATCCCAGCTATGTTTTTAAAGGGAATTGAGGAGGAGGTGAATTTCACTAAAGACTGGAAACAGTTTTAGCTGTTTAGTGGCTCTACTTCAGGCAATGAGTCAAAACAAAAAGGAAATGATTCAAAGGTTGAGGGAACTGGGACCCTTTTAAAGTTGCAGGTAGGGTAATCTATGTTTGCATCTGAGACCTATAATTTATGTAGATTCACATACATCTTTTTCAGATATGCATATATTAGGGAGTGTGTTGAATACTGTAGAACGAAATGTATTTGTATGTGTTCAACACACTGTATAATTGACTCAATTATCCATGTGAAGATTATTAACTTTTAATTTGCAATCTGGTTTCTCCTTTCAGTTAGGATGTTGTTGGGCTGCTCCAGGAATGCCAACTAATTTAAATAATAATTTAAGTAAGACATAATTAGGAAGGAAAATTAAATTCAATCTTTTGCCTGCTCTTTAAGATTCCACCGCTGATCCACCCACTATCTTTTCATTCCCCGGTGCCTTTTTAGTGCCACAGAACTGTACTGCTTTCTATCAATTATTGCAATACTTTCCTAGATAGCTTTCCTGCTTACCTCTTTCCAATCCATTCATCACTCTGCTGACAATAATCTTAAAAAAAAAAAAAGAGCTCCCATCACAAAATTTCTTGACTTCTAAGCAGTTTCTTCTAAAAAATGTCTTCTTCTAAACAGTTTAAGAAACCCCAACATTTAATAGCTACTAATTGCTCACCAGATTAAGTGCATAGGCCACAACCTGTCATTAAAGCTTCTTGGAGCCTGAATTCCTGACTGTTCTACTCTAACTCGGTTCAAACAGCTCTTCCGCTCCTCCTTTTTTGTGCACTCCTCTGCCTTAGTCTGAAATGCACAGCCTCACCTTTCAGGCTCTGCCGACCCACTGTGTAAGCCACCTGCCCCTGCAGGCTCTTCCTGATCTACCTCCCAAGCCCTTCACTGTTCCCACCTCTGAATCCCTTTAACGCACTCCACGTTTTCCTCTGAGGCAGGCCAGCGTATTTGCTGTATTAGTGAGACGGCCTCCCTACTCTCCCGTGAGACCATCTCCCTTACCATGCAGTGTCAGACTGAAAAGAGGGTCGCAACAAACGCGGGTCCGTTTGAACTGCTGGCAAACCCCGAGGGCAGGGATTTAGGTCTTCCGTATCCCCAGTGCCTAGTACAGGGCCTAGCACACAGTAGGCCCTCAACGAATGTTGTTGAAGGAATCCAACGCGCACGACACAAGCTCCGGGTGGCGCTCTGCAAAGCCTCACTTGGGGGACGCAGGTGCAGGAGGGGCTGATCACACAGAGCCCGTACGCAGTGGCGGCGCCACCTCTGCTGCTCGGGGATGCTCGGGGAGCCCTCTCCACCGCCCGCCTCTCCGCGGGACTTGCTTAAACCTGCCCTGTTTAAAAAAAAAGAGAGAGAAAAAAATATATGTATATATATATATATACACACACATATATATTTTTTTCCTCTCTCTCTCACACACACACTCACACCCCATCTATCCAAGTATGTACATACCTACTACATAAGTAAATACATACATATAAATAAATAAATCTATCCGCACAGCCCTAACTCTGACACCACTAGACTGGCTGGGAGGACAGGAGCTCACCCCTCTGCCCTCCGGCACCGCAGGACCGGTCTCACCGCACCCGGCCCGCGGGAGTCCCAGGCCCCGGCGGCCGCAGCGCGGCTTGGGCCTTCCGGGCTCCCGTCCGCCGCGGCCGCCATTGGCTGGGTTCCGCGCAGCTGACAGCCGGCGGCCGGGCGGGGCAGCTAGCTGCGAGGATGGCGGCGTCCGCGGCGTTGATCCTGAGGGAGAGCCCCAGGTAGCTGGCCTGCCGAGCACTTGTGGTACCACCTGTGGCGCGGACAGGGCCCGCGCAAGGATGTCCCTGCTGCCGCCAGCTGTCGCCTGGGCGCCGTGGCGGGCGCGGGTTGGGAGGGTCGGCTGCGGCGGGGGCGTGTGTGGGACCGTGTGGCGCCCGCACCTTCGCGGCGGTCCGCCTGCGGGGCGCTTAGTGCGCCGGGAAGTTCCCTGGGGCTACCTTGATTGCTGCCTGATCACGTGGAACGGTATTCCGTTTCCGCATTCAATTCTCTCTCAGATCTGAGGAGGAGAAAGGCTCACACTGGTGCTGGAGGGGCTTTAATACCTAACACGTGTTAGTAACCCTATCGATCAAGATCGAATAGGTCTCAGGCCAGGAGTTTTTGGCTGGTAACCCTGTCTAGCCATACTTAACGTTGCTTTTGTTTCCATTTTATTTATATTTGGTTGATTTCTATGTACAGTAGGTAAAGTTGGCTGCCCGTGGTGGTAATGTAAAGTTCGTTTTTTAAAATAAAATTATTTAAGTAAAAATGACTCAATTTAATAAAAAGTAACAGTGCAGGTGGTGTGTGAAAAGAAAAAATACTGAAGTATATGGACAAGTAATTTAAGTTGGAGAGTAACTTCTTTGTGCTTGGATTAGGCAGAAATTTTCCTGAAGAAGAGAGCTGTCATTTAATTTTTTTTTTTAATTTCATCATATTACGGGGTACAAATGTTTAGGTTATATCTATTGCCTTTGCCCCATCTGAGTCAGAGCTTCAAGAATGTCCATCCCGATAGGGTGCACACTACACCCATTAGGTGTGAATATACCCATCCCCTTCTTCCCCCTCCCACTTGCCTGACACCTGATGAATGTTATTACTACTTAAGTGTTGATCAGTTAATACCAATTTGATGGTGAGTACATGTGGTGCTTGTTTTTCCATTCTTGTGATACTTCACTTAGTAGAATGGGCTCCAGCTCTCTCCAGAATAATACAAGAGGTGCTAGTTCACCATTGTTTTTTGTGGCTGAGTAGAACTCCATGGTATACATATACCACATTTTATTGATCTACTCATGTATTGATGGGCACTTGGGTTGTTTCCACATCTTTGCAACTGTGAATTGTGCTGCTATAAACATTCTAGTGCAGATGTCTTTTTTTTTTTTTTTTTTGAGACAGTCTCGCTTTGTTGTCCAGGCTAGAGTGAGTGCCGTGGTGTCAGCCTAGCTCACAGCAACCTCAAACTCCTGGGCTCAAGCGATCCTCCTGCCTCAGCCTCCCGAGTAGCTGGGACTATAGGCATGTGCCACCATGCCCGCTAATTTATATATATACTACTATATATATATATATATCAGTTGGCCAATTAATTTTTTTCTATTTATAGTAGAGACAGGGTCTCGCTCTTGCTCAGGCTGGTTTTGAACTCCTGACCTTGAGCAATCTGCCCACCTCGGCCTCCAGAGAGCTAGGATTACAGGCGTGGCCACCGCTCCGGCCCAGATGTCTTTTTTATAGAATGTCTTTTTGTTCCTTTGGGTAGATGCTCAGTAATGGGATTGTTGGATCAAATGATAGTTCTACTTGTATCTCTTTGAGGTATCTCCATATTGCTTTCCACAGAGGTTGACCTAGTTTGCAGTCCCATCAGCAGTGTAGGAGTGTTCCTATCTCTCCGCAACCACACCAACATTTATTGTTTTGGGACTTTTTGATAAAGGCCATTCTCACTGGAGTTAAGTGATAGCTCATGGTGTTTTTGGTTGGCATTTCCCTGATGATTAGGGATATTGAGCATTTTTTTCATATGATTGTTAGCCATTAGTCTATCTTCTCTTGAAATGTTTCTGTTCATGTTCTTTGCCCACTTTTTGATAGGGTTGTTTTTTTCTTGCTGATTTTCCCGAGTTCTATATAGATTCTAGTTATCAGCCCTTTATCAGACATGTAATGTGAATATTTTCTCTCATTCTGTAGGTTGTCTGTTTGCTCTTGTGATAGTTTCCTTGGCTGTGGAGAAGCTTTTTAATTTAATCAGGTCCCATTTATTCATTTTTGTTGTTGCTGTGATTGCCTTTGGGGTCTTTCATAAATTCTTTCCCTAGGCCAATGTCTGTAAGAGTTTTTCCAACATTTTCTTCTAGAATTCTTATAATTTTATGCTTTGGTTTAAGTCTGCTGTCTACTGTGAGTTGATTTTTGTGAGAGGTGAAAGGTGCTGATCCTTTTTCAGTCTTCTATGTGTGGGTATCCAATTTTCCCAGCACCATTTATTGAATAAGGCTTCTTTTCCCCAGTGAGAGCTGTCATTTTAAAGTTTTTCCTAATTACTGAATTTTTTTGGTCCCAATAGCCAGTTCCTTTCCTCATATCAATGTCGTGGGAATGAAACACTTCATTGGTAAACCTATCCAATATGATGCAGTAGAATTTTTGTCATCCCATCATTTAAAATTGATTATTACAATTGAAACAGGTTTTAAAACAACTGTGTACTTAGTGACCCCAGGTGATTTTGTATGTAATATATATAAATTTTTAAGTTCTTTTATTTGCTGTACAGTATTCTTTATATTTTTAGTAGTTTGCCTCAGTTGCTGCTCCCCTTTAGAGTTCCATTTTGGGTTAAGTGTTTACATAAACAACCACTGCTAAATTAATGCCATTCCCCCACAGAGTACAAGCTTCCCCTAGTTTGCTTTGCCCCAGAGAAAGGAAATTTGCCAGATGGGCCCTTTCAACAGAAGTCATTTTGGGGGCATGTTTTTGGAAGTGTTCAGATTACCCTGCCTCTTCTCTTTATTTTACTCAGACTTAGCATATAACAGTCAGAGTTGTTGAAATGAAAACTTATAGACAACTATAGCAAGTACAGTTCAACTTGGAAAACTCATTTAAAACTTTGTTTTACAAATTTATTTAGCATGAAAAAAGCAGTGTCACTGATAAATGCAATAGATATAGGAAGATTTCCACGATTGCTCACTCGGATTCTTCAAAAACTTCACTTGAAGGTATGTATTTTTGTATTTCTATAGCTTGTAATACTTCCTTCTGATTTCATGACAGTCTCTGTTATTATCTGGAGAACTTTTTGCACAGTATAATGTTCTCCAGTATGTTCTCAGGGTCACTAGGTCTATGGAAGTTTTGATAATATTCCATGGTTAAAAATTTGGGAAGCTGTCTTTTCAATAAAGTTAATTTTTTTATTATGGAACTTTTCAGAGTATTTTATATGCTAGTGTTTGTGGTAAGTATTTAAGGGTGAATATGTTGTGTAACATTTTCCAAATGTGTTTGACCTTGGAACTGTTTTGTTATGGTATGCATTTTGGGACTGATGTTCAGTGGAACATACTTTGGGAAAATTCTGATTTCATGGCTTCATTTATTTTTTCCCTTAAAAATAATTCTGTGTATTTACTATCAGCCAGTATCTAATCTTTCATTTAATTTTGTTCTTCTTTTACTTTTACTTTAAGGATGTGGTTGTTTTAGACATATGGATATTTAGTAATTCAGCACCTGCTACCAATCCAAGTTAATTTCTTTATCAGGTTATAAAAATTTAATTCCATCTGACGCGTGTTTATGGAGAAGCCACTAACAGCTCTGCCTGGTGCCAGTTATCACCACCCAATGAGAACAGGGACTCTTTTTCTTTCCACTTCTTTTTCCTGCCCAGGGGCTAACCCCAGGGCCATGTCTTTTCTACCTCTGAAATGTCTCTAAAATCCAAGTTCTCACAGTCCTAGTTCAGATCCTTATTATCTTTCCTTTAGGTGACAATAGTTACCTTCAAACAGGTATTCTTGCCTGTAACCTTCTTGATTCCCATCACTTGTTCATAATACTATCCTAGTTACCTTTCTAAATATTGTTTTACTAAAAAAAAGATTGATCATATTTTATAGTGTTTGGAGCCATCAGTGACTGTCCATTGCCCTATGGAGAAAAGTTCAAAATCCCTAACATCGTGTGCATTATATCCCTAACATTGTGTGACCCATTATAATATGGCTGCAACCTTCATTCTCCCTACTTTTAAGTGCTACATTCACACTGGACAGTACTCTTTTACTGCAACTTGCTATGAACTTTCTCAACTATGTATTTATGCATATACTCTCCCCTTGCCTACAAATGTCCTTCTTCCCTTATTTACTGAGTAAACTATCCTTCAAGCATTTTGCAGTCTCTTTCTCAGCACAGTTTGTTGTTCTGTCTTCTGTGCTTCCAAAACACTTGGTTCATTCTTACCTCACTTTAGTACTGCATCATAAGTATTTGTTTCATGATTAGAAGGCCACCAAATCCCTAAACCTTTTTATCAGTTTACCTTCCTCTGGCCTTAATGTCTTGAGGATCATATCTTCTCATCTTTATTCTTCTTATACCTAATACATTGCTACTTATATAGTTGGTGCTCAATAAATATTCTTGGAATTCTTTTTCTTACCATGACACGAAACAAATGTAGGTCATTATATTCCTGCCTCTAAGGAATTTATGATGTAGATGGAGAACTGAGAGGAACAACAATTGTGACATTCTGTGGTATTTGCTATTTATAAAGTTCCATTGCCTCCTCCATGATTGGTCTTATTCTCACGGCTTTGTATTGTTAACTCATCTAATCCTTACAGCAACTTGAAGAAGTAGGTACTATTGTCATCCTCATTTTATCTATGAAGAAACTGAGATAGAAACCAATTAAGTAACTTGCCCAATGTCACACAGATAGCTAAAAAGGCAGTCTGGCTCCAGAATCCATCACTTATCCCATTACATTAAATCTCAGAAAGGAGTGTGAAACATTTTCTAAATCAGCCCAAAAGTGAATGATCCAGGCAGTAGATAATAGAAGTTCTGTTTTATTTCTTGAGCTGATGGCTGCCTTCTTAAATATGTAAAGCAATATGGAATAAGAAACTCTCTTACATATTTTTTATTCTTCATACTGAGAGAGGATGGAACAATTGCAGGGACAGTTGTGATGTGTAGTTTGTTTTTGACCCTTTCAGTCACATCTGGAATTGAGAATAAATTATATCTATCTTAGAGTTAACTGAGTGAGTGAAGTGTTCTATAGAGGTGCTTGAATGCTATGCCATCAGAGATAGTGGAGTGAAGATGAGAAGGTGTACTTGTTGAAAACTGAAGCTACTAGAGGTAGAAATGTATGCATGTAATACTTGCCTGCTAAGAATATATAAGGAAAGCTGTACATTTTTTTTTCCTAGACAGTTTCAGGGGTTGATCTTTTAGAGGGGCTCCTATTATGATAAGAGCTCTAAAATCAAGTTTGCCGTGAATTTCAAGATCTTCCAGCTTTTCTTTATGTACTCTAGGTCTGCCAAGTTGGCCTTTGCCTTGAGATAAGCAGAGCCCTTAGAATAGTAGAACCTGAGACAGGTAGATTAGTGAAGAGTCTTAGGGATTTGGTTGCCATTCTAAATGCCATCAGCTTGGCACTTTGCTTTTAGCAAGTTTAATCTGTTTGTAGGCAGAAGATATCTTTTTTTTGTATAGACTGGTTCCATGGAATTCTTAGTAAGAATCAACAATCAACATGAGGGCTGGAGTGGTGGCTCACTCCTATAATCCTAGCTCTCTGGGAGGCCGAGCTGGGCGGATTGCTTAAGGTCAGGAGTTTGAAACCAGCCTGAGCAAGAGCAAGACCCTGTCTCTACTAAAAATAGAAAGAAATTAATTGGCCAACTAATATATATAGAAAAATTAGCTGGGCATGGTGGCGCATGCTTATAGTCCCAGCTACTCGGGAGGCTGAGGCAGGAGGATTGTTTGAGCCCAGGAGTTTGAGTTGCTGTGAGCTAGGCTTTGACGCCATGGCACTCACTCTAGCCCGGACAACAAAGTGAGACTCTGTCTCAAAAAAAAAAAAAAAAAAAAAAATCAACATGAGGAAATTAAGACAGCTTAGGTATAGAATATGGGCATGCTTGAACATGGATCTGGGGGTGTGTGTCTTTTTTTTTTTTTGAGACAAGGTCTTGCTTTATCACCCAGGCTGGAGTACAGTGGCACAATCACAGCTTACTGTAATGTTGGACTCCTGGGCTTAAGTAATCCTCTGGCTTTAGCCTCCTTAGTAGCTAGGACTACCAGTACATGCCAATACACCTGGCTAATTTTTAAATGTTTTGTAGAGACAGGATCTTGCTATGTTGTCCAGTTTGGTCTTGAATTCCTGGCCTTCCAAAGTGCTGGGATCACAAGCATGAGCCACTGCACCCAACCTGGGGGTCCTTTTCTGAACTAGCCATTTTCCTGGCTCATCCTAGCAGACACAAATACATGAGGTTTGTTTTTGTTTTTGTTTTGCTACAATGTGTGGAGGGGTATTGATGGCATTTGATAGCCAGGGACTTTTTAAAGATCTTGTGATGCGCAAGACAGTCTTGCACAAAGAATTGTCCAATCCAGCATGCCAGCAGTCTGCACTGGAAAACACTGATGCAAGTCAGATGAACTTCCAGAACTAGGAATCCAGAAATAAACATTTGTGGCCTCTCAGCTTCAAAAGTAGCTGTCACAACTCATGCAATAAAAAAACTCATCTACTTGTCTCCATTGGAGAGACTTTTAGGCTTCACACAAAGCCGATTGAAGTAACTGTGGTGTATATTCTGAGAGGTCAGCCATCTGGCTTCCTGATCATAGCAGAATAGAAACAGCAAACTGGAGGATGAAGGGACTGTTGTCATGGGGCATGCAGGCAGCTTCATGAAATGACTGCTGATCATGAAATAAAATGGAAGAATTATGAAAACCAGGCACAAGAAATACAAAAGCACAGAAGTGAGTTTTTTTAATTGAAGTTAAAAATCATCCATGTATCTCAGCAGTTCTTTAGGATACTGCAGTGCAGAACTTTGAAGCTCATAATTATGACTTTTAATTCAATTTACTGTGTTTATAAAAATCTATAATGGGTACCAGACATTTTAGAAATCTACAAACATATCAATTTCTTTTCACCATATATTCACTTTTCTTTAAAGTTTTCATCTCATATATGAATAAATGAATTTTCTGTCATAAGTTTTGAATACCTGAATGTGTACTAATAGATTATTATTTGTGTTGTAGTCTGAGAGCAGTTTCAGTGAAGAAGAGGAAGAAAAACTTCAAGCTGCATTTTCTCTAGAGAAACAAGATCTTCATCTAGTTCTTGAAACAATATCATTTATTTTAGAACAGGTATTTTTATTGTCAAATTTCCTGACCATGGTTTATTACATATTTTTAGTGCTATGATATAAATGACTTTCTATGTTTTTATAAGAAAATATGCAAGATGGAAGCTGTGAATATATTTTACTCAAGAATTGCAATGTAGTAAAATTATTTGAAGATTTATAAAGTATTTGACAATATGAATCGAGACTCATTGGAGACAGTTATAAGAGATTTGAATTCATTGCTACTTGCTATAATACTTTTGAAAAATGAACACTATTTAACAAATTAAATGATTTGGGGGATATATTTAACTAGGAGTATAAAAAGGACACTTAGAAAAGAAGTATTGTCATAATATTTTTTCCTACTGAGCTGCCATTCTGCATCTTTTCTTATCTAAATTCTGTTCATTATTTAAGTTCCTGTTCAAATCACATCTCTTTTATTTCAGCCTTGATGCCTTATACTTGCTGTCTTCCCCTATTTGGATGTTTTTTATCCCTGGCTATCATAGTAGAACACAGTTCATCTTTCATTAGTTTACAAGTGTCAGTTATGTCTTCTTCACTAGATTTTGAACTTATGGGGAGTGAAGATTATATTTTTTGTGTATCTTGTATAAGTCTATCAAATAACATATGTGTTTTCTGCATGGAGCTGGGGGGAGGAAATAGGGGGGAAGAGACTTTGAGTGGTCAACCGGTCCAGCTAGCTGCCCCCTGCCTGCAAGGCGACCGCTCCCACTCTCCCCTGCTCTAGCCGCTATTGGGGTTGAATGCAAAATTTTCAACTGGAACCCAAAGAATTCCCAGGCTAAAACAGCGTGTTTGAAAAGCATTGTTTTATAAAAACGCAATTCGAAGAAGATCAAACACATTGAGTCGTTTGAGAAGAATGTTCAGGAAAGAGTCAGAACGCACACTGCACAGTGTTTTAAATGGATTTTCAGGGTGGGGTGAAATTCCTGGCCCTGTGTAAATGGAGCAAGAAAGAGTACTCTTTCTATTCTTTCTAGGAGGGAGCTTCGAGGAAAAGCTCTGAGTTCTTTTTGTATATATTTTCCACAAAATATTGTATAATAG